TATGAAACCTCAAAATTTGATTACAAAACTTAGTCACTTCAAACTGAGCATAATTTTCTCCCCTTTCTGCCAATATAATCTGAATATCAATCTTTGTTGTATTTAACAATTGAAATAAGTCCAAGTAATTTTGTGTAAAATTAGTTTGCTTAATAGTTACCACATTTAGTCCCAGTATAAGTTCACAATTAAGTTGCTCTGGCTCTTGAAATTGTATATCTTGATATATGATCTCTTCTATCAGTATATTGCATAGGTATAATTCCTAATTAATTTAGAACTTAGAAAATACATATTTGCAAAAAAAGAAACTTAGATTTGGCCTGAACCAGAAATTTTTATGTTGTATGGGGATAAAAAGCAATTACTACTACTACTACTACTACTACTACTACTACTACTACTACTACTACTACTAATAATAATAATAATAATAATAATAATAATAATAATAATAATAATAATAATAATAAAGTTGGAAGGGACCTTGGAGGTCATCTAGTCCAACCCCCTGCTCAGGCAGGCAACCCTATACCAATTCAGACAAATGGCTGTCCAGTCTCTTCTTAAAAACTTCCAGTGTTGGAGCATTCACCGCTTATGGAGGCAGGTTGTTCCATTGGTTAATTGTTCTGTCGGGAAATTTCTCTTTAGTTCTAGGTTGCTTCTCTCTTTGGTTAGTTCCCATCCATTGCTTCTTGTCCTGCCTTCAGGTGCTTTGGGGAATAGCTTGACTCTCTCTTCTTTGTGGCAACTTCTGAGATATTGGAGCACTGCTATGATGTTCCCCCCTCGTCCTTCTCTTCATTAAACTTCATTAAATTACGAACACATCTGCTTTTTAATTATTTATTTCAAGATTAACTATTACTATTAAAGCAATCTTATACGCTTCCTTAAATAAATTAAATATATTTAGTCCAGTATTTTATTTCCAGCTATTTAATTAGATAGCATTTCTTATTCAAAGACTTTCTTTCTGTATTTTTTTTTAGCTATGCCTCATATTAACTCTGTGTGCAGCTTTCTGGGTAAGTAATCAAATTTACAATGTGACTGATATGTCTTGATAAAATTATTTGTAAATGTTGTTTAAGTTGTAATTTTTCTTTTTCTTTTCAGTGGCATAATAAAGGGCTTACTATCCTCTTTTGCATTTTACAATTCTTTGCCTTGGCATGGTATGTATCACCTCATTTTTCCTGTGTACATAGGTCTTTGGCAATAATTGGAAGTTCTTGTGCATTTAGGAACAAAAGCCTTTCTTGTATCTCCATAGACCTTGAATCCTTTTCACATACAGTATGCCATAATGAAAACAAGATATGTTTTCCTCATCCCCTAGGAATTTTGAAGGCATTGCCCTAAGCACCTGTTTTTATTGGATTTCACATGAGGAAACCATGCCCACATTTGCATATAGCAAAGGCAGTGATATGCAGGATTGCATGAACATTTTATCTCTTACCTGATGAGATTTGACTCATTCCACATTTGAACTCCTGGTTATTCCTGGCATATGAATCTTACTTCTAAAGTTTTATTAAAGAGTCAGTTTGGAGTAATATTTAAAGGCAGCAGGTTAGAAACTGGGAGATAGTCCAGCCTTAGGTACAAAACCAACTGGGCACCTAGGCCAATCCCTCTCTCTCTCACTCTTCACGATCCTAGGAAAAGGACACTTCCAAAATCTTGCAAACCCCCCCCCCCCACATGGATTAGTCCATAGTTTATTAATTTAAAATCTTCAATATATTTTCCAGTAAAACATATAGTTTGTGGGATTCAGAGCTGAACAGGGCCAAACTGAATAGTAAAGCAGGTTTCAAATGAATATATTAGCCATTTCCAAATTTTTCTTCCAATAGTGAAAAGGACAATAAGTTAGTTTAAGGTACTAAACTCGTTTGCGCCCTGGTTCTTTAAAAAAAATCTATTGTAATCTTTAAGTTACACTTGTTTAAAGTATGAGTTTTTCTTGTAAACAGGACTCAGAATTAAGCTTCTATCCTAAATGCTCCAAATATGATTAGTAGACTAATAGGATAAAAACAAATCAATATCAGCTAAAAGAGAAATCAGACTCCAACCGAAATATTATGAGAGTCAAATAATTTTTCAGTTATACTCATACTTTTTTTTAAAAAAAAATCACTTGAATACCAAAAAGATTTTCAATGATATCACTGAAAATCCAGATTAAAATTTCCTTTTTCATGTGAAGATGGTAATTTAGTTAAAGCAAACAGTCTGCTAATCCCATAAAAACTTTCTCAGTCGCTTATTAAGCTTCTTAAAATATTGAAGATGAATTGATATTGGATGTTATACACTTGCATATGCATGTATGAAAATCAATTTAGATGCATTGATTTTAACATTTTTATTTTCTGTAAAGTCACTAGGTTATGCAGCCATCCATACAAATATGCTCAAACATTTATAATGTTCAGCTCACCAAAGCAGTTTTTGCTAGAATTATTACTTGAAGGTATTTAAGAACATATGAACAATAAATCCATTCTTACGGATTTCTTAAAATAATTTGAATCTGAATGAAAACATATTACTTATTTGGTTGAATAACCTTCTAATTTAGCAATGTTGAACCAAGTATATAATAGCAATCTATGTTTAATTCCAGTCACATTGATACCCTAGATCTTTTTTGATTATCTAATAAAATAGGCCACTAGTTCCACTGTCAAATTTTATGTGAATGGAGATGAATTACTTTCTTGACATAGTTTCTCATTCTCACTAACTCCCTTCATCCAATATAATGAAAAATTCACATCATCTGTATAGAATAAAAATCTATAGGGAGACATAGTTGTGGGCATATAATACTTACATTTCTGTTTACATATCTTTCCACTTGCAGTGAAATATGATATTACAAATGTTCTGACAAAGTTCATTTTTTGAATGCAGATCATTTATCTTCTTGGTCAGCCATGGTCAAAGTGACACAGAGAAAGTTCTGTCGCCCTTATTCCCTGGAACTTCATTCCCCTGTCCCTGAGATTAGTCATTGCTACCCTAGAAGTCAGCCATATATAAATTGATTTTAAAATCAAAACAATGCTTAGTCTTAGTATATTCCAGCATGGCATAACTTGGTACACTGCAGTATATATCTGCTGCCCAGCATTTGCATTCTGTCATGTGTAATGTAGACTGTTAACAATGTTGGATTGTGAGGGGAAGGTGATTTTGTTTTTGTACTTGCTAATGAAGGAATTTGTGCTATTCCTTTTCTAGGTACAGCATTTCCTACATACCATTTGCAAGGTAATGTTGATTGCCCACATTTGTTCATGGAACAAACACATTTCTTCTGTAATTTGTACGGGTTGGAAAATCAAAATAACCTTAATGAAATGCTGTTNGTGGGTTCCAGTCTGAAGACATGTATCAGCAGCTGAATTGCAAACTAAAGAACAGATTGTTAGAAGGATGCAATTTTTTTTAAAGAGGAGTATGCATTACTGTTTATTCTCAAAAAGAATGCCTTCTGTTACTGCAGTTAATATATTCTATTACCAATAGTGCATTCCTGTTTGAAACTTTTTAGAAAAACCAGTTTTTTGCCTCTCATAAGATAAATCAGATAATTAATGGAGAAATTGCTTATAAAACTTTTGATTTGGCTACTTTTTGCAGGCTAAGTTGGCTATCTTTTTACATTGAGGACTACAACACCTGCATAACCAAATGATTCTTGAAACAGCACACACCTGCCTAAGAACAAAGCACTAAGGTGTTAAGTTAACGTGAATCAGAAGACAAAGCTACTATATATTCCCCTGAAGATAACACATTTTATGAAAATTTCAAGATAAATTATGTCTCGTCTTCACTTGCAAAACTAATACTTAATGTATGCTACAAAAATTTTTCTTCAGGTGATTTTATTTCAGAAGTAAAATGGATATTCTAATTGTGAAAGGGATCGGATGAGATTTTACTACCTTCTATCAACCAATTTTTATCAAAAAGTTCAAAGGACAGATTACATTTTGGAAAACATTAGCTAAGCATGCAGTGAATTTTTCTCCATAACATACTTTTACTTGCTATCAAAAGACCATTTCTAAATGTCTCCTTACCTTCTAAAAATCATGATTGCAAATTGTATGAGGGAAGTTACTGGAATTAATTTGTTGTCTAACAGGATAGCAAGTATAATTCTTTACTTTAAATTGTATGAATTAGTGTCTGTTTAGAAAGAGAATCAGTAATTGGAGAAAAATAGGAGTCATAACAATAGATAAGATGATTTCTGCAAGCATGTCTATTTATGGACTTTTACACATGTGGCCTTGAAATGAAATAAAATCTAGACTTCTGCCTTTATTGCTGACTTACATTTTGAAAAAAAAAAATCCTATCCTTGATGCCACTGTAGTGGCTCCCTTATTTTCATTTTCATTTTCATGTTGGTCAACTCTACATGTACAACTCATGTTGTACAACTCAAAAGTGTACCATAATCTAACTGGAGAAACAAACATCTTAGATTTTGAGTGCCTTCTTTTCTCATCTTGTCTTTTCTTTCAATATTTGTTTGGTTGCATAATTTATCACCGTGGTTCGTCATGAAAGAGGATCATATATTTCATGCTTTGATTTCCCCATAGGATAGTATACTGAGATTATTTATACTGCCAGATGCTAGCATATTGGCAGTTTTTGCCGCATTCCTTTTTTCTCCTTTATGCATTGGCATATTCCTTGGTTATCTCTCATAAGAAGTAAAATTAGTGTGTGTACATGTTAAGAATTATTTGAGAGTTTTTGCAGTTGTTTTATCTTGATGCTACGCTATGCTTATTTAAAAAAAAATCCAACAATTTTGCCTTTGGTGGAATTCATGAACTGTAAGCATTTATTGCCAAAAGAAAAATTATATACAATCTACGTTCATTATACCGCCTTTTCTGATTTCTTTCATCTTTTGAAAGAGACTAATACAGGATATAAGAGCACAGAAATTTCCCAGTAAGGAGTAGCCACATTAACTCTGATTTTGTACACAGTGGAACCAATGTTTGTATCTATCTAACTAGTTTAATATAGCTTCTTTGATAAATGTTGTTGGTTGTTTTATTCCAGAGATCTTGGAAAGTTAATTGTATTGTGCTGCTTACCAAAACCGAGCATATTTATAGATTTGTAAGCTTGATATTTGTAAAATAATTCATTTTATTTCAACTTTCATTATGAATGAAGCACAAAATTGTGTACACTGATTGTAAATGAATTCAGGCAAAACAATTCTAAGTAATGTATTAAAATTAGGTCTACAAGGCCTCAGTTTTAAGAAATGAACACATATGTTTCTTTCCTTCATCTGCTTTTTGTGGGAGCATTTAAATTATTACCTTACAATATAAAACTGTCCAGATCTGTATATTAAATTTTTTTGAATATCTTCTATAGATATTTAAGTATATACATTTAATATGTTTTTATAGTGAATCAGTGTGTAGTTATTAGTGATAGCGGTAACTGCAAACTCTCTCTTACAGTAGACGATTGTGGCACAAGGGGACTCCTGAAATACAAAAGTCAGAATTTCACTTGATAGTGCCTATTCCTGATGCATTAGTGCAGCATTGAAAAAGGTTGGGGACAATATTCTAAAAGATATAAGTCTCTTACTTGTTTCAGAGGTAAATAGTGGTGGAACAGGATAACTGTAAGCTTCATACATTCTGTATGGGTTTTTAGGGTCACTTGAATATAAAGTGGTGAGAAATTATTGTATAAACCTAAGGGATTTGGTGAAGCTTGCTTGATTCCCCCCCCTCCCCTGGGATTTCCTAACTATGTAAATTCATTCTTTTGAATACCAGCTGAGATCATCTTATCATTTTTCTTGTTAATATCTTCAGAGAATTGAGTTTAACGTAACATGTTTTGCTGCTACTGATGTGCAATGTGTCTTATGTATATTTATTTAGAATAACAGAAGGGTAGTAATAAAAATGCTGGGAAATGCAGACATCCACATTAAGGAATTCATAACTTTATATCAACTGCTGGATTGAATGCCACTAAGTCATACAGCTATCAATTTCTGCCTTTACATCTTGCTGCTTCATGTTAGCCTTCCCCAACATGATGGTGTGCAAGTTGAAACAAAATCCCCTAACTTTCTAATCAGCATGAAGTCTTCATGGAGTCACCAAATTGGGAAACGCTGCTTAAGATTGGTAGCAAATGAGAAACAAAACCCTTTAAGCCCTTTTGTACTATTTTGTACAATATGTATAAAAGTAGGAGGTTTATTGTGGGGAGAGACTAAGATAATTCTCACAAATTCTAGTTGCAATAATGTCCTTGCTTACAGAATGTGAACTTGCTAGGCCAATAGTAATGTCTTGTATTTTAAGACAAAGAAACACAAAATGCTCTATTTTGTCTCTTAAATTATTATGGTACATATCCAATAGTAACTAGTCCAATAGTAACTGAACCTTTAAATTCAATTTGAGTAACTTCCAATTTTTGGCACTGAATTCTTGTTAGGTATATTTTTAAATAGACTTAATGTAATATTAAAGGTATTGAACATCTTATAAGAATATTATATCTGAGTTATTGCTTTTCCCTGAAAAATAAAATGCTAAATCTGTATTAAGGGAGCAAGACACTACTGTCTTGCTCCCTTAATGGTTATATGGCCTACATTTTCAGTTACTTTTTCTCTGAGCCAATGTTCAGCCTTTATGATCTAGCGAACAAAGAATAAGAATAATTTTTGTAATTTTTCCCACCCCTTTATATTGTCAGTTTGTTAAAACACTTATCTTTGTGCATTATTACTGTACTCTTATGACAAACTCTACCTTAATTGCAAGTATGCTAGTTGCATGATCTAAAATATTTCCACCACTAAATATGAGTAACATGGTCTATTTGAGGCTGCATTGGAGGTAAAGTGCCTACCTCTGTAGCACGACCCAATCATGCTAGCAACGATTTCCATAATAATTAGAGTTGTACAAAATGTTCAAAAGGGATAATTTTGAAGAGTACACAGACTGCAGAGGAGTGCAAATGAATCACCCCTCTTCAAATTATTAAAACAGGTTTTGAAGTTCTGTCTTTAAGCTTTGCTCAAACTCTTTGGCTTGAAGCAGCCATATAAGGCTTGTGAAAGATACAGCTACTTTAATGACCCAAACCACTTCTAAAAAAAGTCATTCTTCTTTGTGTAACAGCAGAAATAATGCATCTCGGTTGAACGCTTTGCAGAACCCTCGTAATAAGCTATTGATTCTTTTGTTTGAAAAAACATTCCATTTTTATACACTGGCTTTTGTAACCCTTTCTGCGTGCTCGAAGTTTTGTTTTCCTTAGGAGAAAATATCTTTTGAAAGGAACTCTTTTTCAGTACTATATCTTCTGTAATAAAAATGTTTTCACAATGCATGTGTGTATTGTGTTTTTAATAAAGTCAACTCTGCTGAAAGGTTCAGAGTTGTGAAACTTGCTACTGAAGCCATATCTTCTGAGAACACATTGCTGTTGTCAATATGCTGTAATAGAGATTACAAACATTCTTTGAATTCAACTATTTTGAAGCTGAAACTTTGAATTTCTCTCTTGAATTTGAAGCTAGGAAGTGAAATTTTGTAGAATCTAGAAGCAAGGAAAAAGGTAAATAGTAAAACAAAAGAACAAAATTATTGGCATCACTGTACATGTTGGTGTTTTATTTAATAACATAGGATACAATCTTGCTATTGTGAAAATTGAGGTAAACAAATGTTTTAGAGTCTCTTGGAAATAAACTCGATATATTTTATAAACATTCTTATTTTGTCTCTAGAGAAAAGAGAAACTTGTCAAAAATTCTGCTTATTGATTACATGTGTTTACCAGATCAGCTCCAGCCTCATGTTGGTTTTCATGTTTATGAGTTGGAATGTGAATAGTTGAAATTATCCTGAAATTCCTGGTTCATAAAGATGATTATGTAGGAAAATAGATCTATTAAACTGTCTGGATTTTGATTATATTAAAAAAATATGTACAAGTATAATAGATATTGATACGGTGTTAACGCTTTAGTTAAAACCTTTTCAAAATAAAACTTCATAGTTTAACAATATTTCAAATCAACTTTACTAGTTTTGGTCACATAAAATAAATACAGATGAAGGAATTAAATGGTGAATTAAACTGAAATCTAAGTTGTTGCTATATAAAATTGAACTGAAAATAATTGGACAATAGTTGTTGGTTATAATGCAAATTTGTCAGTAAAGAGTAATGTTTCTGTGAAGATAATTTAATTTCTACATAATATTTAATGCTTAATACAGATATGTGTTAACTACCAGTAACAATCTTTAAAAACTTGTGACCTATATTTAAAATGTGTGGCTTTTAAAAATGTTTTGAAATATTTAACCTGAAGCTCTTTCAGCTCTGCTTCTATATAATTAATACTCCATGCAAGAGCCAATTTGGCATAATGGTTAAGGCATCAGAGTAGACACTGGAAGACTGTGAGTTCTAGTCCTGTCTTTGACATGAAACCAACTGAGTGACCTTGGGCTCCTCACTTTCTATCAGTCCTAGGAAGGAGGCAATGGCAAACCACTTCTAAAAAAACTTGCCAAAAAACTGAAGAGACTTTTCCAGGCAGACTTTGAGAATTGGAGATAATTGAAAGGAAGAAAAGAAATGAATATGCTCTAAACAAATAGGTCTCTTAATAGTTTACACTTTGAATACAAAAATTCCACTTTTGATGTTCACAGGTTCAGTTCATTCTAGGTAAAAGTGAATCAGGTTTATATGAAATGCTGAAGAATCAAACCTAACCTCTGGGGCTTTTATAAATATGTAATTTATTTATTTTTCCCAAGCACACAGAAGTGATTTGCCACTGCCTTATTCTGGGGTGCTTTTCAATTTTCTAGTATAGTCTGGAGCAAGCATGTCAAACTCGTGACGTCATGTGACGTCGCACAACATATCGGGACTTTTTCCCCATTGCCGGCAATGGGGTGGGCGCGGTTTCGGCGTGACGTATCCAGCCTGGGGGCCAGCAGTTTGACATGCCTGGTCTGGAGCATTGATATTCTCTGCTGTTTTGTTAAGTGCTAACAAAGTTTATTCTGCTTACCAATCTGGTTGCAGCAGTGCTCTGTAACTTATCTATATAAATAAAAATGTAAATGTTCGTTTGTTCAAAATCTTAAATCTCCAAAAGTTCTTCACCGATTGCTTTGAAATTTTGACACAACGTTGCATTCGAATACGCGCGTGTTTTTATATACCTACTATTATATAGATGTCACACCTGTGACACCAACGTGCACTTTCTCTTTTCTTTCTTTTCCATTTAACCAGACTGAGCCACAGCAACGCGTGGCCGGGTACAGCTAGTTATTATAATAAGATGAGAATGCAACAAGCGTGTACCTAGGATATATCCTATCTTAGTCATCCAAATTATGGGTCTAATAAGATGTAAGCAGAGATCTAATTTGAGAGGATTTTCCCCTATTAGATTTGTTCAACTGTTTGTCATTCATATAGTTAGAACACAAACTTGATATATGGAGTTTTATAAGTAGATTGAGGCAGAGAAACATTTGAGGAAATGTTTTTTGCTTGCTTCAGCAGAAACAAGAAATAATCAACAAATCAATCTGAAACTCTTTGAAGCTAACAGCTGTTTACATACTGTATAGCAGGGGAAAAAAGATATGTTTCCTCTTTAACTGATATTTAATAGCTGTACTTTCCTACAGACTTTTCTACTGACTATAATAATATAATAGAAAATTCTTGGTCAAATGAAATCCATGAGAAGCTAACTCATTCTTTCCATCTCCTGTCCCATTTGAATGGACTCTCTTTCCTGAACATTCAGTTCCAGAAGCTAGGGAAACTAAATATCTATCTAGCCATGACATCCAATGCCGAGTCATAATTACAAAGGACAAAAAGACAGCAGGTTTTCTGCTGTTCTTTAATCAAGGTTTGACACCATCAGTAATTATTGGACTTGAAGTGATTTAGAAAAGATTAGTCTTTTCATTACTTTAGCAGACATATTCAGAAAAAGGGGCAATTAACTTCTGGTGGCCGAGATTCACAGACAGCAGGGCTTATGTACTGCAATAATGTATAGGTAAATACTTGTTAACAGCATATAGAAAATTCTATTTTCATAAATTTCAGAGAAGCTGACAGAGTCTGGATGAACCATCAATCCACTCATTTGTATAAAATCTGGAAAGTTTTGAGTCTTGCCAAATACTTACTTTCATTCATTCTGTTGTTAAGGAATACTTTATCCACTGAGCTCTAGAAATTAAAAGCTATTAGGTATCATGCCGATAAGCCTAATTTAAGACATCCCATTAATAATGACAGATGTTCCAGAGTCCAACCATTGGCAGCATCTTCCCAGCTTTGCTGATTTCAAGAAGCTTAGCAGGATTACAACTGATTAGTACTTGGATGGTAAAACCATCAGGAACATGAGGTCGGTAGGCTTGATCAGGAAGTTGAGGAAGCATCTTGGAAGAAGACTGTAGAACACTATTTCCACATTGTTCCAAGACACCTACGTCATTATAGCATCACTATTGTGAGTAGTCTATTGCTATTCTTGGGAAAATTTATTTCTAGATAGGTTCAGTAAATATTGATTCTAAATTTACCCTCCACAAAACTTATGAAGAAGCAGTGAATCCAGTTAGTAGTAACAATATTTGATGCCTCGTCAGAAAACAGTTATCCTACCCATTAAAATAATAATACGTAGGCTCTCAGTATTTTTGGCTTAGTTTGAGGTATAATGATCAGAGCATTGTTAGGTGCTGCTACTTATTTATCAACCAAATTATTTCTCTTACATGGAGAACATGATTTCCATACAACACCTTGTGAGCATTGGCTAAAGTTTTAGGAACAGAAACAGTTTCTATGAGGTAGATAAAAACAGCATTCAGTCTATGAACCAAAGGTTCTTAATCCTACAGATTTGTCAATTCCTTTTCCTTAACACCTGTTCATTTGAAGTAGTTTATCATATTCACCTCCTAGATTAGATTCATATATTTCACACTCTTGCTATTATAGCAAGCAGCCAGAAGCAGGATATTTAGTTAATGCCCTTCTGTACAGATATTCAATAGAAGAAATCCATGTAGCTCAAAGTTGAACTGTGTAGTCTATCAGGTACAAAAGACCAGGTCCACATGTGAAGGTCCAGTTAAACTGATTTATTACTAAACAGCCTATGCATAGGAATTTCTTAACCAACAATTAATACTTGCTTGGCGTAAAATAGGAGTCCACAGTATCCAAAGGAGTTGGACTTAGTCCACTTATGGCTACATAGGGATTCTAGGCTGATGCCTCCTTTTACTCTACCCTCACATGTTGCCAATCTTACAGAGTCCTTGGTGCTTTCTGAACATTTGCTTGCAGATGTTTCATCATCTGATTAAGTAACACCATCAATTCTAATGAATGTGAGATTTGCTCTCTGTTTATACAGAGTCACTGTATTAGTGAGATGAGCAGCCTAGTAATTTAATAAATAAATAATATAGAAAGCACTTGCCCTGCCAGCATTGGGGAGTGTGGATTCTCCTTGACCAAGAAGAAACTCACTAGCTTTGATGATGTTACCCAATCAAGTTATGAAATGTCTGCAGGCAAACAACCAAGTTTCTTGGCTTCTTCTTGGACCAAGAGAACCATACCCCCAGCAACATGGCAAAGCATGATACTGCATGCAAAAAGGGAGCAAATCCTGCACTCACTAGCTTTGATGATGTTACCCAATCAAGTTATGAAATGTCTGCAGGCAAACAACCAAGTTCAGAGAGCACCCAGGATTCCACAGTCTACAGTTATTCAGTGGTCAATATTCAGTGGTAGATAGCCTACTAGCAGATAGTAAATAATTATCAATTTTGAACGATGGCGTGAACAAGAAACATTAGAATAATTTTGAAAAAACAAATCATCCCTTCTTCATCCACTTCATTTTGATATTGGAGCCTCAGTGCCTATGAGCAGTTTCTTTTGCTCTCACTATGATATTTTTCTTCTGATATAACTTTAACACTGTTAGCAACCCAGAATCTCTTGGTGAGTGGCAGCTGTATATACTGAATAAGTAAAAGAATAAATTTGTGAAAACTTAAATTTCTCACCATTTTAGGTGGGAAATAAATGAAAACTGCAGTGTAAATCAATAAAAAGGATTTTACATTTTTAAAAAACATAGGAACAATTCCTGCTAACCCAGAAAAAACAATATTATGATCTATTATATGGCAATGCCCTATATGCTTTGCACCAAATACTGTCCATAGTATCGCTTACATTTCCCAAAGTACATAAATTAGTCATTGCTGTCCTAGAATTTGGGAATCTAGCCTGCAAATAGGAAGCTCATATGAATTGTTTCCCGGTGTATAAGTATAGTTTGATGAGAAACAGAAGTTTTTTTGTTGACAATGATATAATGAAACACAAGGAAATACACTTGCCTCAAGAAAGGCTAATATTGTATATCGCACAGTTCGCTTTTCAGTGTCATTTGTATCTCCCTTTTCAGTTTGATTTTGCAAATCTGCACAGATTTGCTTTCCATTCATCGTTTCATTTGAGACATTAAATCATTTTCATTAATGGAAATATAGTTCTTGAGCAGAATAATTAGACCCTCCTCAGAAAGATAAAAGCTTAGCAAATTGAATGGAAGATTCGTCTTCAGAAGCAGCCAATTGCCTAATCAGACTGCCTCCCACCTGACAGTTGGTAATTAAGACATGGTTGTGTGTTCATGTTAAAACCTTAACATGCAGGTGTCATCATCGTGTTGGGATGTAGTGGAGGAAAGAACAAGTCTGGCAAAAGGCTGAGGTGAGCACTTTTGTTCCATTGTGGCTAATTAATTAGTTTGGGCTTAGGTTCAGAGGGGATTGTGAAGGCTTCCCTCTTTCGTTTTTTTTAAAATAACCTGAGAAGTTTCTGACATTAGAGTCACCATGACTGATTTGGGCTGCAAGAAACACAGTGATTGCACCATCTCCAGGCTGCTCAATGTGGTGGAAAATGAACTCCTGGCTGGCAGAGACAAAGGGGACCCTACTGAGAAACAACTCCAGGTTATCTTGGAAGATTCTGCTCTGTGGCAGAGGTTCAGAGAAGTTACAAATGAGATGATTGTCACCAAGAATGGCAGGTGAGTGTTAACCTTCTCTTTTGCTACAATGAATGGTGAAGTGAACTCACTACATAGTACAGCAACTGTGACTGATTTGCAGTTCATTGGAGATGTTCTCCTTGAGAGGATCTGTAGAAATAAGTAAAAACTGCACGAGAACAGGGTTATAGTCTCACCATAATTCCACTTCTTTCAAGTGAACCTGGATAGTTTGCTGGCGGACTGCATCCTGAATATATTTATATATTTGTGTATAAATGTGAGCCATTTTGGATATTAAGTGGTTGTTGAGAGATGCTATTATTGACAGCTTAGAAGCAAGTGAAATATCTTCACCTTTATGTGTATCCAATGGATGTTGATGTAGCATATTTTCCTATGCAAGTATCTTAATAAAAGAAGCAAGGCTTTAGCTTTTTCTGAACCAAATGTTCAAGTTCTTTTCTGAAAGATTGTGTCTTATGAGAGGATGCCATTGGACATCACAAATTTCCTGTACTTATCACCTTGTAAGAGATTAGTGTTGTGTATGGTAAATACATATTTGCTCTTAAGAAGACTTCAAGCATTATAAACTTCAAAATGCAAAACCAACATAAATATATAAATGACATAATATAAACCAATTAAAATGATTTTACCCATCACAAATGCAGATCATGAAAAGCTCTGATTAGTTTATAATGGGTTCTTACAATATTTATATACGATAAAGTGGTTGTGCATGGTTTGTCTGAGCACACTTAACATTGTGTTCTGTTGGGCTGTTTGCAAGCCATTTCTGCTGGAAGACCTTTCACTCTTGATTGGCTTTTTTTTCTAACCCTATCTTCCCCATTACTTGTTCCATCACTTTTCTTTCTTTAGAAAAACTCTTTGGAGTGAAAATATGGAACTATATCACAATCCATTTTGTACATTTTTTCCAATAGTGACTTAAAACACAACAGAGTCAACCATTTATGACATAATTCAATGCCAGTGCTCATTACTGTCATGCTGGCATCAGAATGAATGTATGTGACTAGAAGATGCTATAAGTCATTAGTGAGAAAATGCTAGATAGTGCTAGGAGCTCCCATCTGAAAGAATCCGTGAACTATGCTTTTCTAGTAGTTACAATAAGATAGAACACATTATCTACAGATCTCAGTTTTAGTAGTTAGTATCACATGTAGGCCAAATGTATTCAACATGTATCATAATGGAGAAAATCTATGTACATGATCGGTAGAAGTTGGTGGCTTAATGGCACATAATCCATAAACCAATTCAATTTGTATATTTTTTATTATGTAAACAGTAAGCCCAGCAGCCTGTATAGCTTCAGGAATAATGGCACAGGAAAAAAAAACTTATTTTTTTCTAGTCACAGCTAAAGGAAAAAACTCTCCTGTGATGTGTAATCATAGACAGTATGAAACTGGAAATAGTTTTCTGTTTTGCCTCTCTCATTGGTTCTCAGTGATCATCTTTCTTCAACAGATATAAATACTAAATCACCAAATTCAGTGCTGTCTTTGATTCCTTAGTTTACCAATTCCCAAGTCAATTTTTTTCCCTGTTGATTGTCACATTTTCTCAGAGGATCTATTGTAGTCTTTATGTTGGCAGATGGAGACAGGGCTATACACAAATGGGAACTCATGTAAAAAAAATCCTGTGACAATATACTACAAGATCGATCATATAGTAAAGGGCTATATTTTTATATTGTCTCATTTTAAGAGGAAAATTGAGTAGAATGTGTTATATATCTGAAAAAATGCTAAAACAATTATGCAAAGGATGCCTAAGAATAATGTGTACTTGTGTGGGAGACCTAAGAATTTCTTTAAGTTGCTAAATTGTAACTTGTTGTATTTTCATTATATAAAATTCTGGCTGGGTTTGGTAACAGTTGCATTTCAGCAAAATCAAGCATTCAACTTCCGAAGTACAGGATTAAACATTAATACAAATTATAAAGTGAAAATTCATTCAGATTTTCCCCTCAGATGATAAATCTCTTTTTCTAAGAACAATTCAGTTGACTAAAGAGTTATGAAATATTATGCCTGAGCAATATTGAGAATATAATTGATAAAAAGAAGAGGGGGTCTCAAGCAGTACAAAAGTCATGTACTTTCACTTCAAAGCCCTGTTTCATAGCCCATGGATATGAAATTTGGTAGCTTTAATTTGGCTTGTTCTATTGCTCAATGGTTTCTTTCTCTAACTTTACTTCTTTTCAGATTCACCACTATTGCTTTTGCTAACTTGGCTCATTGGCAAAAAAGAAGGCAAAGATGAGCTTACGAATACTAAGTTAATCCATGTATAGTAGCAAAAGTCATCACAATGTTTTCCCAAGAATTATAAAGAATGATGTTGAAATAGGTTGCATTTTTACATCAAGATTTAATACATAAATGGAGTTTTAATTCAGCCAGTATATAAAATACATCTGGGTTCAACCAAGCTTTCCCAAGAATATTATACAGAGCTGTGGTGGTGCAGTGATTACCGACTGCCAGAAGTTCGGCAGTTTGAGTCTCATCAGCTCAAGGTTGACTCAGCCTTCCATCTTTCTGAGATCGGTAAAATAAAGACCCAGATTCCTGGGGGTAATATGCTGACTCTGTAAACTGCTTAGAGAGGGTTGTAAAACACTGTGAAGTGGTATATAAGTCTAAGTGCTATTGCTTTTTAATAAAAACATCCAGCAATAGCACTTAGACTTATATACCACTTCACAGTGTTTTACAGCCCTTTCTAAGTGGACTGTAAGTGGGCTCAAACTCTTTCTTGGTTTCGTTTGATTTGGTTGAGTTGGGTTGGATTACTATTGCTTTTTAATAATATTTACATCTAGACAGCCTTTCCCAACTTGGAGCTCTTTAGAAGTGCTAGGCTACAATGTCAACCATCTCTGACTAATATGGAAGATTTAATCTCAAGATAGCACAAGGCTATGAAAAAATGCCTAAAAGATCTCAAATCTTCTGAGACCGAGTACTTTTTATTTTATTCCTTAGAGGTATATCACATTTTTCCTCTGCAAACAAAAGGCAACATACATAGCCCTCTTCAAAAAATTTTCCCCAAATAACAATTCTGTGCAATATATTGCTTTAGGAAATACAGCAGGACCCAAAATAGCCAGTGAGTTTTCGTGACTCATGATGGACTTGAATCTGGATCTTCCTCATCCTCATCCCAAATCTGTTCCCAAGTATTATTTTAAGTGTTTTAGTTGGAGTAAAAAGAGAAAATACAAATCCTCTAAGTAAGTATATATATATATATAAAACAAACTAAACTTGTTCAGAAATATTTCTAGATTTTTCTCAAACTTTTAGTGAATAATGGAGCACCAAACAATGCAAAACAATCCATTTGAATATTACTAGTACAGGATAATTAAAAGGGAATTGGCAGTGGCCATATTTATCTTGCCTCTTTCTTCTCCATACTAATCAGTTTCAAGGCATAGACTTTTCTTTCATAAGCTGGAGCCAGGAAGCATGGCCCTATCTTTTTCTCTTTTTCTCATTGACTATCTAAAAAGGTCGTCCTATTTAGATAGGATGTCTTATTCTATATTGTGATATCCTATATTGTGATACAGCAAGTAATGCCAAACGGAACTGATTTTTATCTCTATTTTTAGGTAAAACACATATTAGTGATACAATGAAAAAGAAAATCATTTTGTAAATTATGTAAATAAAAGGATAATAAACAAGATCAAAATGTAATAAGTTGGGCAGGACTCTCAACCATGGGAGAAAGAGGAAGAGAAGAAGAAAGAGGAGAAGGAAAAGAAGAAGTCCTCCAGACATTAAGAGGTGAAGGGAAGGAAAGCAAGCTGTGTAATTGGAAATGTAGTTGCAAAAATGGAAAGCTGAAATAAGTTGAGATCAACAATAGTTGGACTAGGTCTTGAAAAATGGTCCACATATACAATAAACACAAATAATATGAAAAATATAATTCTTTACTCCTCCAATGCTGTTTCATTACAACTCTCACCATGGTTAATTTCAACTAATAATAATAATAGTAATAATAATAATAATAATAATAATAATAATAATAATAATAATAATAATAATAATAGTAGTAGTAGTAGTAGTAGTAGTAGTAGTAGTAGTAGTAGTAGTAGTAGTAGTAGTAAAATTGGAAGGGACCTTGGAGGTCATCTAGTCCAACCCCCTGCTCAGGCAGGAAACCCTATACCATTTCGGACAAATGGCTGTCCAGTCTCTTCTTAAAAACTTCCAGTGTTGGAGCATTCACCGCTTCTGGAGGCAGGTTGTTCCACTGGTTAATTGTTCTAACTGTCAGGAAGTTTCTTCTTAGTTCTAGGTTGCTTCTCTCCTTGATTAGTTTCCACCCGTTGCTTCTTTCCTGCCTTCAGGCACCTTGGAAAATAGCTTGACTCCCTCTTCTTTGTGGCAGCCCCTGAGATATTGGAACACTGCTATCATGTCCCCCCCCTCGTCCTTCTCTTTGTTAAACTAGATATACCCAATTCTAGCAACCGTTCCTTATATGTTTTAGCCTCCGGTCCCCTGATCATCTTTGTTGCTCTTCTCTGTACTCTTTCTAGAGTCTCAGCATCTTTTTTACATTGTGGTGACCAAAACTGGATGCAGTATTCCAAGTGTGGCCTTACCAAGGCATTGTAAAGTGGTATTAACACTTCACGTGATCTTGATTCTATCCCTCTGTTAATGCAGCCTAGCACTGTGTTGGCTTTTTTGGCAGCTGCAGCACACTGCTGGCTCATATTTAAGTGATTGTACACTAGGACTCCGAGGTCACAAGGTTCCCATGAGCAGAATATAAACAAATAAATGCATGTACTTCTTTCTTTTCCAAAATGTTAACATCTCCAATTAAATATTCTGAATACGGTTAAAATTGTCCTCTCTTCCTGCCTTCCAGAAAGTGCTGTTTGGGACAGCTATGAAAAGTTTGTTCCCATCCTCCCTGAAATTTCGGTGGTTTAATATTGGTTCTCCTCTTTCTCCATTGGCAAACAGATTGAAAAAATATAAATGTACCCAAAACAGCCAGCTTTTAGAACAGTGGTTCTCAACCTATGGGTCGCAACCCCATTTGGGATCAATCGACCATTTCACGGGGGTCGCCAAGCAAGGCTGTCTGCCAATTTTTTCCCCTTTTTCGGCGGGTGCCTTACATCCCTTGAGCTGGGCCAGCTGGTGGTCGGCCTGTTCCGTCTCTGCCGCTTGCCAGCTATGCCTCGGCCGGCGCAGGGGGCGGAACCACGCATGCACGGCGCTCCTGGGCAGGGAAAGTCCTCGACTTACGACCGGTTGGATAGTCCTTGACTTACGACCGGTTTAGTCCTCGACTTACGACCGGTTTAATCCTTGACTTACGACTGGTTTAGTCCTCGACTTACGACCGGTTGGGGGTCGCGGCATTAAAAAGGTTGAGAACCACTGCTTTAGAACAATTATCATTATGTAGCATATCCTTCAATGTAGTTTTTGTTGGAGAGACTGTTGAATAATGAGCCAAATATTTGTGATGTCTAGGTTCCCTAGTCAATTGTTTTAGGAACAGAACATGCTGTCTTGATTGCAAGACCTCATACTTAGCACCATCCACACAAAACAGAAGAGGAATGAGTGTTAGCTGCCTCTCTTAGTGAAAAGATTTTGTGTCATTAATATCATTGACTCATTAATATGTTAATTTAGAAAACAAGCAATTAAAACAAATTATTCCCTAAATATAAAAATACTTAATTTCTCATATAATTGTTTCTCATACAGGCGGATGTTTCCAGTTTTAAAGATCAGTGTTTCAGGGTTGGATCCAAATGCTATGTATTCTTTTCTGCTGGATTTTGCTCCAACTGATAGCCACCGCTGGAAGTACGTGAATGGAGAATGGGTTCCTGCTGGAAAGCCAGAGCCATCCAACCACAGCTGTGTCTATATCCATCCGGACTCACCCAACTTTGGAGCACACTGGATGAAGGCCACAGTATCTTTTAGCAAAGTGAAACTTACCAATAAGCTAAATGGCAATGGGCAGGTATGGCACCATGGGTTTTTTTTTGTAAGCCTCTTGGCTTCCGTCATTGGCTTCTACCAATTGAGAATGATCAAGGGTGCATTTATGCAATTAGAAGGGCCCTTAGAGGCCTCTTCACCCACAGATGCCAATTATTCCATCGAGTCCAAATGTAAACAGGAATAAACAGGCTTTAATTGGAGCTTTCAGATTTTAATGGACTCCTTGATGTCAAG